TGGGTAAATTATCGCCATCTTATATTTTTACTTTCGTGGATGTGCATTGTTCGTATTTAATTTTGTCGACTGCACAGTATACTTGCCATATCATCGCCACCTGGCGAGCTATCGGTTAATCTTCGTAACCTAGGTTGGCAACAAAATTAGGAATAGGGAGACTCTTAAAACAAATTACTAATTTTTTTCTTAAAGTATCTTGGACATTCCCACATATTAAAAATATCTGTGAATAGCCATTGTCGATATTTTCCTCAATGAATATGGCATGAAAAAAATTGAATAGGTTATTTATTAAAATGAATACAAAATCATTCATTTCGTTTCACTATACGAGGCCCAGCAGCCACTCAGGTTAGAGGGTTACTGTCGTAACCTAGAAAGGGTTACTGAACGAGGAATAACCAAAACGGAGGTTGGAAAGGAAATTCTAATATTTGTAACATCAACAAAATACAATACTCGCCAGCGGCGTGAAGTAGATAAACCACTGCTAGTGGTGAAGTACTTAGACATCATATTACGATATTTACCTGCCTTCCCACGGTGTAGGATGCAGCACAAGGCCAAATTTAATGTAGGGGGGATCCGAACCCGTAGGCTCGATCAAAAATTGCCCGTAGACCCCGAGATCGGTTATCTGCCTACCTCCTGGACGAGACTCGTCCGGGTTCCTCTCCTGCTCGAAGGCAGACTTTGACATAGCAAGAGCTTCCCACGCTGACAGCTCACGCTGCCAGCGTAGACACCATATTTGTATTTACTTGACACCCCACTGAGTCAGGTTGTAACACAAGGTTGGCTTTTAACGTGGGCAACCGAGAACCTTAACTCGGGCTGCTGGTCCAAGCTAGTGTTCATAGGTACAGTATATAACAGTTACTGAAAAATCTTGTTTGCTCGAAAATTGGAATGATTCCGGTTAACACTAGATTCGAAGTGATTAAAATTGTAATTGTTAGGAAGGCATCTTCTTTGGCGTCGTTCCCACAAAGGAGCAGTTCATGAAAAGAAGTTGATCGAGTGGCACTTCTTCTTTCTAATGGAATATGAAGTGTACAAAAAGGGTTCGTCTCAGTGTATGTGACATGGCGAGTCTTACCTGTGAGGGTTAGTGTTGGAAACTAAGAAATGTAGTTCTTCAGAACATTTTCCCTGGAAATAGATTAGCGAGGTTTGAAATATTTCGAGAAGGTGTGGAAATAATCCATTACCAACAAGTCCGCGTCAACGTTTCGGGACTTTGTTGAAACTTGGAAGTGAAACAAGGCAGCTCCAGCCCATATATGGCAGTAGTACTTCATTATCGGCCTGATCTCTCTCTCTCTCTCTTTCTCATAAAAAGGTCGAATCCTCATTAATACATGAGTTTTGCCGAGCTTGATGATTATGATGATGATTTGGGTTTCTTTTTTCTTGATGTTTCACTGTATCAAAACTAGAACGGGTAGACTGAGGACTTCCAGCTCAGATATGACAGAAATACTGTATCTTCGAGTTGATCTGGCTCATGTAAATTTAGCGCAGTGCAGGGAGAGTCAGGAGCTTACTAGTGCCTTACAGGAGATCGACCATTTTTCCGTCTTTAGCGATGGATTTTATATCCGTGTTCCACTTTAGGTATAGGGGTGAGCTTAAATATAGGAATGTATAAGGATAAAAAAACAAAAAGCAACGAAAAACGAAGTGTTGTTTGAGCAGACTGTAATCTCTAGCACTTCTTTCAATGTAATGCCAAATCTGAGTAACACAAGTTGCCAGATACAGTAAAAATACATATGAAATATTAACATTAAATTCATAAGAAAATTATGAGCGATTTCAGTGGTGCTGCTTTCCTTTGCTCTCCTTCGGTGCCTCGTCTATGAGAATATAAAAATCAACTGAGTATATGTAATAGATTTCACGATACATTGAAAGCTGTAGGGGACACATGTTTCAAACAGCTGTTGACTGCTTTGAATAGACAATTACGACCAATGACAAAGCCTGGAATATTTCGGATTAAAATATTAAACCAAATAGGTTTTGGAGAAATTGGAAACAAAAAGGAAACTTATACGTAACATCAGGAAGAGTCTGTTGAAGTTTCTGCGGTACGTAATGAGGAAGAAGGGCTTGAAAAATTCGATACTCACAGGACAGATTGAGGGAAAGAGGGACATAGAAAAACAGCGCGTAACATGTTTGATGAGCTTAAGTTAATTGATGGTAGAACAAGATTTGGGAGAAATAACAATAAAATAAAACTTATTAAGAGCTATAAGAGAGAGGAAGATGTCGAGGGCTCTGATCGCCTACGTACTGAAGGGATACGGTACATTAAAAAAAAAGAATCATTACTTTTTCGCCACGCTTCAAGAGCGACCTGCGTATTCACAGATTAAATGTTGCCAACCACTCGGTGCTTTATCTTTTTATGGCAGATGCTCATAACACCTCTGCATTCATCTTCGTGTTCCATTAATAATTAGGATATTACTATCTTTATTCCAATGTATTCTGTCATCATTTCGACTACTTCCAAATTCAAGACTCCTATGACGTTGTATTTTTAAGCAAAGAAACCATCTACGTGTTTTTTGTAGTCTTCGTAGAAAGTGAATTTTTCCATTCTGGAAAATGGCCTCTGACAGATACAGTGGATGAATGAAAATATCCCACCTAAGGTGAAATTTTGTCTCGTTCAATAAGCCATGCGATGGAACGTTTTTCTGATTAAATGCATAAGATTCCCTTAATGACACATCGACATTTTTTTTCGGCTTCACTTGATCTCATTTGGAGCAATACATCGTCCACTTGAACATTCTTCTACGGAAATAACTAACTAGAGATTTTTGTGCATTATAACCATATACACGGGATCACCTTCTTTGGATTAATACTAACATTTGTTGGTGTCGGTTCTGGTTCATTACTTTTGCATTGTAATCTTTTGCGTTGCTTTATTATAAATGAATGATTTCTCATCGGCCATTATATTCTGTTCCCCAAACGTAATACAGAGAGCATCGTCGTTGGGTAATGAGTAACGGTCTAGTCTGTATGAGTCATGATTACGATTGCCCTTCGGCGCTCTATACAAAATTCAATATTCAGGAACTCAACAAGTGTTAGCATATCGTAAGATTAACAAACAAGCTGAACAATGTTCTATTATCAAGCTGGGTTTGGGCATAGATGGGGAACCTCGACGTGGTGTAATGGTTAGCAAGCTCGTCTCGCTAGATTAATTACAACTGTGATCTTCACTGGATGCTAGAAAATTTCGGTTTTTGTGCTACACCTAAGCTAGGCTTAGAAAATCACCATAGCATTTATCGATTTTTTCCGCTTAACAGAAATAGAAGCTACACATCTAAGAGACTATCATAAGCAAACTGAGGCAAATTATATTTCACTTACTGCCTTCGATGTTTTGAATATGTTGTCTATCTTCCGCTCTGTCTGACAATAATTATCTATATCCATAAAAGGCAGGGTGTGTGTGTGTGTAACGAATGCACGGCCGCAATTTTCGACGGATTTGCACCAAAATTTACATACACATGCTCCAAGTTAGCGGAAAGGCCAAGACCGACTTTGCATTTCTGTTATGGTCCGGTTCCTTGTACCACGGTGATAGTCCAAGGTAGAACCAATAAAGAAGAACCCGTACACGGATATGGAATAACACAGATATATTACAAACAGGAATATATACAGAGAAGTAGAAAGTGTTAGTACGAACAATCAGGTTTAGTAGTAATTGTCTGAATGCGACTCCGTTTCAGACTGACTGACTCGCTCGCTCTGACTGACTGACGTACTTCTGACGGACCTCACTCCAGACTGAACTCTCTGCTTCCTCTTGAGGCGCAGTATTTATTCCGTATGGAATAGTCCATTATGTTATTATGAGTAAGGTCCCATAACAATTTCCCAACTCACATCGATAGTGGAAATAAACGAGTTTTTCATGTTTCTACGGCGGTTTTCATGTAGTTTTCGGCCAGTTTCTACTGGCCAGAGTGAGAGCCTATAGCCGGCTGCCACGAATAGGCAGGAAGATTCTACTTGGCCAGCATGAGAGCCAACAGCTGACTGACACGAATGTTATCTAGCATGCTAGCATGCCTAAAAATCGATAGCTGCATTCTTCACAAGTGGGAAAAATTTAAATCTGCATGGCACTTTACTCCAATTGGCTCATTCGCTTGCTTAAACTCAACGTTGATTCTGATTCCACAGAACTGGGTTGGGCTTTTTCGTAACAGATTTAATGTTAAGTATAGAGCTTAGAAAAAATTCGCAGTGTGAGAGAGGCAAGAAGTAAGGCATGTAGCAACATCAGCACGGCAAAGGGCACTACTTTAAAGGCAAGGAAGGGCAAAAATATTTTAAGTCAAGTGATAGTGATTGCTGTATGAGTCGTACGATTTTTTTAATCAAGCACGGGCAACGCCGAGCCATACTGCTAGTTTTTTTTAATAATATTTGTTTTAACTCAAACTCAACTTGATAGTAGAATATTGTTCGGCGAGAAATGTTATCTTATAACAGGTTTGATAAATAACTTTTTTTTTAAATGCCACTTCCCTCCACGATGAAGATGATCATGAGTTCCCGCAGATTTCATTTTTTTATTAAGTGTGAATGCCTATTATTTCTTTTGAATTATAGTTGGTTTTCCGTTACGTTCTTTTTTTTTTTTATTCCAAGTTATCCTTTTTCTCAGGCTTGTTGCCAGCCAAGTCTAAAGATCCCCAGTCTACATGGCTATTTCACCTATATACGCGACAGAAAATATGGATTCATGTACTTTTCAAGAGCATTTGTGCAAAAATGAATGCAGCAGACGAGCTCGGAATTTGAACTCGGCACGCTGATTTCATTTTGCACGCCGATATCCGTTACGCTACACGCAACTTACGATCCATATTCCGTTCCCTGTAAACTCGGCCAGTCATTTTCTTCGTTTTCTGCCGCCTGTTTCCCCATTCTTCATATAAAATGTAATGACGCGCGTAAAGTCTTGCTCGTTTGCTTCAACGGTAGAATCAATGGACGAATTACGCCAGCGTTAACAACTGAAAACAATAAATTAAAAAAAAAAAACATTGAAAACCGACGATTTTCAACAGAAGCTATTTCAAACCGAATTTCTCTTTATGCAAACTAAAACTCGACAAGTAATCTTTGCTACCCAATAGATTCTCCATATTAATGGATGACTATATTAGCCGGGAAACAAAGATCTACATAACTGTCCATGAATTGCATTCATTTGCATGTCGGCACATTTTTAACGTAAATATATTGACCTGACTAGATGTTTCATCTACTGGTTAGTGATTTATTTGCAATTAAAAGTTGCCTCGGTGTGGGTCAATGGTTAGCAAGGTTAGCCTTCATCTCTTTGTTATAGTAATGTTCAACCAATACAAGTCCCAAGAGCCACTCAAAGATGTGGCGTTGCATGAGTGCAAAAAAGTCGAGAAGTGCAGTTCATGAAATTGTGTGTGAAAGATAATTTAATTCTAAAAGTATATTCAAGATTGTAGTAACTGGGAAAAAATCTTGCCGGAAGTTTGCTCCAGAAAGCAGCACCTTTTGGGGGAATAAGCTGTCTGAGTTGAACTGAACATCTTTAGTAATACGAAGGGAAGGATGATGATTTATCATTGAGTACGTGACATGGCGGAATACTGAGTGATGTGGTCAATCGTCTCTGTGTACCTTATACAAAATTCGACATTAAATAACCCAACAGTATTTCAAATATGATGAAAACAACTAACCAAATCAACTGAAGTATGAAAATATATATATAAAAAAGAACAATCATTCGCAGATGAATGAAGTATATAATTTATATAACTTATATTAATCTTTCAACATAATTTCTTTCTTTTTCAAAAGCACTTATCTCAACTCTTCCTAATTACAAAGATCGTAAAGTAGACATGAACGTTTAAAATTGTAAGTAAACAACTCTTGTGTCAGTCTACGCCACTCATTAGATCACTTTTCCTTTTTTTATCCTTGCCTCTTTTTTCCTTTCTACTTTTTTTCTTCCTTTCTACTTTTTTTCTTCCTTTCTACTTTTTTTTCTTCCTTTCTACTTTTTTTTCTTCCTTTCTACTTTTTTTCTTCCTTTCTACTTTTTTTCTTCCTTTCTATTTTTTTGTCCTTTCTACTTTTTTTTGTCCTTTCTTTTTTTTGTCCTTTCTATTTTTTTTTTTTTTTTTTTTGTCCTTTCTACTTTTTTTTCTTTTTTTGGGTTTTTACATTTTTTTTCTTTGAGATTTTTTCTTTTTTTTTTTCTTTGGGATTTTTTCTTTTTTTTTTTTCTTTGGGATTTTTTCATTTTTTTTTTTTTTTTCTCTTTCTTTGGGATTTTTTCATTTTGTTTTTTTTCTTTCTTTGGGATTTTTTCATTTTGTTTTTTTTTTTTTTCTTGGGATTTTTTCATCTTGTTTTTTTTTTCTTTCTTTGGGATTTGTTTTTTTTTTCTTTCTTTGGGATTTGTTTTTTTTTTTCTTTCTTTGGGATTTGTTTTTTTTTTCTTTATTTGGGATTTTTTTTTTTTTTTTTTTTTTTTTTTTTTTTTTTTTTTTTTTTTTTTTTTTTTTTTTTTTTTTCATTTTTTTCTTTGTTGTTTTTTTTCATTTTTTTCTTTGGGATTTTTTCGTTTTTTTCTTTGGGATTTTTTTTTTCTTTGGGAACAAAATTTTTTTTTTCTTTGGGATTTTTTCATTTTTTTTTCTTTGGGATTTTTTCATTTTTTTTTCTTTGGGATTTTTTCATTTTTTTTTCTTTGGGATTTTTTCATTTTTTTTTCTTTGGGATTTTTTCATTTTTTTTTCTTTGGGATTTTTTCATTTTTTTCTTTGGGATTTTTTCATTTTTTTTCCTTTTGAGTTTTTTTTTTCTTTTCGTTGTGTTTTTTCTTTGTTTATTTTTGTTTTTCTTTTCTTTTCTTTTTTCTCTCTCCCATCTTTTCTCTCCTTTTTTCTCTCTCCCATCTTTTCTCTCTTTTTCTCTCTTTTTCTTTTTGTGTGTGTGTTTTTTTTTTTGGGGGGGGGGATTCCCAACGATGTATATAGCACCAGAACTTTCATTTTGCTAGAACACTACCAGAAATTTATAACGAAGTCACGAAATGTTTCACAATTTGATCTTGTCGCCAAAGTCACATAACCATTTTTTTTTTCTCACTCGATCTTATAATTTTGTTGTCTTTTCTGATTCCACTTTCCAGACGATTTCGTTACATTTACTTACGCAAGAATAGCCTTGGGAACGGTATGAATCTATTTCGTTTCCACCTAGCTATGGGTTAAATATCAGTACATCTCCGGACAAATTTTCAAAAAAAAAATATTGTTACGTAATATTCGATCACAAAAAATAAGAATACTACGTAAAATATTTTGGCTTTAAATAGATCAAAATTAACAGATTTTTTTTGCTTTTTTGTTCTTTGGAGGTTTTTTTTTTTTGTTTTGCTTTGTTTTTGTTTTTTGTCTGTTTATCAACCGTTTGTGGGTTATTAAAAGTGGAAACAGATTTTGGCTTGTCAGAACAATTCCTTTCTTTCGAGTGAATATTGCATGTAAATGCTTTTTTTGATAATGTGTTTCTACTGTATAACCCATACTTACAGCAACCGCCGTCTGTCGAACTCTCTGCATTGGCGGGGAGGAACCCGGACGAAGCTTTGTTCGGAGAGGTTGACAGCTCTCGAACCTGCCTAGGCGGGTTCGAAGGCTATATTTTTGGCCGGGCCTACGGGCCCGGATGACCCACATTAAACTCGGCCTTGTGCCACATGCTATCCCACGTGGTGGGGGGACAGCTAAATAGAACTGTATAACCCATAGATTGTGGAGAAGAGATGGATTCATTCGTTTTCTACGGGTATATTGCGTGATTGAATACAGCAACCCCGATTGGAATTCGAACTTAGCGGTTCGGAATATGAACTGAGAGAGCTATCAATTACACCTGGTGTACAACCAGAAATAACTTACAAAGGGTCGATAAGCTGTAATAAAAAAAAATTCAATGTAATTCCGTTTCCTTCATAAGGAATCTCAATGGAGAATGTCTAAAAAATAATTTTGATTAGATTCATATGAAAATAATTATATCATTAGTATTAATTTCCATGTTCCTTCTCACGTTCACTCCTTTTCACTCTAAGTTTCACACTTCACCTTATACTAACACAATTTCACCATCGTATTCTTGTTAGAATTTAGACGCGCGCATAGTGTTAAAAGGATTTTTAACTATAAAGTCGTTTTGACCTGGTGACGGTAAAATCTGTTCCTGTCACAGTTTGTGAACCCAGGTTCATTTCAAATTCCGGGCTACTAGCAACAGAAACGCTACGTTGGCTGTCTTTCGACTGTCCATCTTTCTCCTTTGTAAACGACCAACAATGGTCGATAGTGAATGGAATATAATTTTGGCTATTTACTTTAGATGTTTCTCACTGACAATAAACTACCTACTCGAAGCCATTAAAACCCAACCAACATATTTTTGTCCGTTCTATTGAATAGAAGTACTTACAAAATACGATGAAAAAGTTAAGCATATTCTTTCTGATTCAAAGTTTCCCAAATTACGCTCTGATATCAGAGATGTTCCATTTTGAATGAATTAAGAGAAAATTGAAAGTAAACATTCTAACGCCGTCTCTGACGTACATTTATCGTTAAGCAAATAATTATATATATATGAACGTGTAGCGGGCCGGGTGTTTGAACGCATTGTGAGATGAACACGTATATCTCCTGAAATAGGGCCTACAACAAATATACAGGACTCTATTTCCAATAGAAATGTAAAAGTAAATTTGAAGAAAACAACAAAGATTGGTGTGTATATATATATATATATAAGCAAATGTAAATGGACATAGATCCGACAGAATGAAGAAAAATTTGGAAAAAACAAACAAAAATCCTTAAATGCAATTATGGAGGATTTATGAAGCAGGTATAATATCCATCTCACGCACGGTGAATACTAGACCTGGTTTCTTTAGTATTTCCCCTTTTTTAGCGAGATTAATGCTCGACAAGCATACATAAAAATTTTTAGATCCTAATAGAATTTTTTTTCATTTTCATTTTTTCATTCAAAATAATCAAAAATTTTAGGAATACGTTTTGAAAGCGTCGCCCATGTGACGACAACGTGACCATGCTAAACGGAAAGCTGATCATTTTAAAATTTTCAGTTATCTGTTTTGGATAAGACTTGTTTTTTATGTCCATCGTCTTTGTCAAATTGAACTGAATTGTATTTTTAATGAATATTGTCCTGAAGAAGGTTTATTAAACCGAAACGTCAGACGTCGACATTTCATTCATTTTAAACAACATAATTGCATTTAAGGATTTTTGTTTTTTTCCAAATTTTTCTTCATATATATATATATATATATATATATATATATGTATTAACAAACAATAAGGGTTACAATTGACAAAGACGGTAATGAATAAACGCAGAAAGTTTGTTGTCAAAGTATGCGTGAGTGAATGTTTGTACGTACGTGTATCATGGCGTTTCGCCTGAAGGGAAAAACGCAAATTCTCCACAGAGCTTTACATGGTGTCGTCAGCTGAAAAATGAGAGAAGAAAAGAGAAGCCGAGGGAAGAAATCGCCAAGCATAAAACTGGAGAGCGCCCCCAGGTAACGGTTTGGAAAATTAGGAAATTAAGGAGGAGTTAACTCCGACAACGTTCAAACCCAGGCTTTTTTTTATTTTTTATTTTTTTTATTTGGGTATCAAGTGACGATAAGTTTTTTTCTTATTACTTATTTCTTAACCTTACTCAGCTTTAAGTGGCAACGTTGCTGGATGTGCAAAATTTAATGGAATCACTTTTTCAACCATGCTACTATGAATTTCGAACATTTTCCGATGCGTTAATTTTTTTTCCCATTCCTTTTTAAGTCCCATGACTGAACTTTTTTGCTTTTTTAATCATCAAT